CATGTTTTGATGGATATCTTCATTGAAAAAGCAATTCCTTTATCAAATATATTCCATTTCCATCGTAATACCTAGTGGAAAGGGGGTTCAGCGCTGTTACCAATCTCCTAACGGAAAAAAGAAACAGACTGGGCATCATTAGCCGAGGAGATTTAAGATTAACCCTTACACAATTGACGCCAAATGTTGATAATTTATTATTAAAGCATCAGGTTCATCCTTCTCACTAAAAATATTGACTTATTGCTTATGTTATTTTATTTATAGTTTATTTTATGTTTATTGGTGTCTGACCAACAAATGCCCGCATTGGGAATAAGTGCCCGCATTGATTTTTTTAAAGAACCCCCCTTTATAGAAAATATTTTTTTTAAATTATTCTGAAAATGCAAGGATAGGTACACACTAAAATTCGTTAATTTTTTGCCTAGTTTTAGATAACTTAAACGTATAAGAAGCGGAATTTAATCAAACTAACAGTGAACTCGCTTATTGTACTATTTTAAGTAAAAAACTTTTTTTTTATTATTTTTCATTTTTTTTTATTTTATCCCTCTTATTTTTTTTCAATGCGGGCACTTATTGGTCAGACACCTGTTTATTTAATGTTACGTATATTTTACATAACAGATACAAAAGTTTATTTTGAGTAGTTTTAATTTAAACTCAATTAATAAATGTATAAATTAACATGTGTTTTTACTTTAAGTTTTTAACACTAAACTTCACTACAGTTAGAAATTTACAGGAGATCAATATTAGGTAAGTAGGGTTTCTACCCAACACGGAAAAACATGGCAAGCGGTCTACGACACAAAAAAGTTTGGGGAACTCTGCTCTAGCATGACGTAAGAAGTTTGTCCTCACCACAGAACATCCTTTTTATCGCGCCATCTCTTGTAAGGTGTTCCTTAATGATATGCGAATATTTAAGGGTGTGAATCTACATGAAAAATTAATGTTAGTTTGATTTACAAACTTTGGTCCAAAAATGTTTCCTTACAAAAACTCGGGGTGTTGAGGTTTTAGGAAAAAAATGGAAATTCATTAATATTTTCAGAAGCGCTTCACATATTTCACTGATATTTAGCACGTAGTGAAAGTTAATAAAGTTGTATATTTTTCAATGCAAAAATAATTTGTAGCTTTAACAGTGGAGTGCGTACGGGTATTGACTTCGATATTTTTTTAGAAAAGAATGGTACGCCAATGGTTTTTTGCAAAATAAAAATATTTATGAATTCCCCGTTCAATTTAAAACAAATAATCTATCTTGAATTGTTTTCCTTCGATGCGCCATTTTTGAGTAAAAAAATAAAAACCGCTTTAATGTCCGAGAAAATTAATGTAATAATTGAAGAATGCAATTTAGCAATAAATATCTAGTTGCTCTGGAATATTTCACTGGCTTCTGACATCTGACACGTCTCTGTTATTCAAATCTGTTCGCTGTGACATCTTTTTCATTATTTAGTTTTTACATACGTTTGTACCACTATTTAAAAATATGGTGCATGCTACATATATGTATGTACAGATATCGATTTCTCCAAAATTGTAAATGTACGATCACGCTTCACCTGCAAGCCCAACTCTAGTAAAAACATTCTACCATTCTAAAAAAATGCTGTACTAACATATTTATACGCCCAACATAAATAATACTGCATTTACTAAGCGACGAGTTGTTCACGCCTGCAACATGGCGGAAGTTCCAAATAAGTTAAGGAATTCCGATTTTCTTTTAATATACAGGGTGTTCCTTCATGATATGCGAATATTTAAGGGTGTGAATCTACATGGAAAATAAATGTTAGTTTGCTATATAAACTATGGTCCAAAAATGTTTCCTTACAAAAAGTCGGGATGTTGAAGTTTTAAGGAAAAAATGGAAATTAATTAATATTTTCTGAACCGCTTCAGATATTTCACTGATATTTAGTACGTTGTGAAAGTTAATAAAGTTGCATATTTTTCAATGCAAAAATAATTTTTAGCTTTAACAGTGGCGTACGTACGAGTATTGACTTCGATATTTTTTAAGAAAAAAATGGTACGCTAATGGTTTATTGCCAAATAAAAATTATTTTTGAATTACCCGATCAATTATCTCTCTTGAATTGTTTTCCTTCGATGCGCCATTTTTGAGTAAAAAACTAAAAATCGTTCTATTCTCCGAGAAAATTAATGTAATAATTGAATTCATTATTTAGTTTTTACAATCTTGTTAATAATGGTGAATTATTCAAATGCAGAAATGGCGAAAATACATTACGTATATGGCCTTGCCGACAGTAATGGTGAGCAAGCCAGACGGATTTATCACCAGAGATATCCCGATCGTGCTTTGCCAGATAGTCGAAACTTTTCTAATATTCATCGTCGTCTTGTTGAAACTGGTTCTGTCCTGTTTTTTTTTATACTCGAACTATCACGAAGGCCTAAGGCCTAAGCACCCATTGGGTACCGTGGGGCTATAGGGGGATATATGGGAAAGGGGGAACGCCACACGGACTCTGGCGAGGGAACACGTGTGCATGCAACATGCACACATTCTGGCTCCGCCTACGAGATCCGCCGGGTGGTACCTCCGCGTTCGACAGTCAGAGACCATCTACCACCTACGGACAATCACAACAGCCATAGCCAAGAGAAAAATTTCTGCTGGGACGGGACTCGAACCCGCACAGCGCACGGCGACTGATCAGGAGACCGAAGAGTCTACTACTGCGGCCACCGCTGCTGCCACATTTCCATCTTCAAGGAGAATACTTCAGTCAGTGTTATAACTCAGATCCTTGGAATTGTTAAGGAATCGAGTTTGATATTTTTCCGCGTAGGCCTAAATACCAGGACACCGCGGCCGCTACGAGGTGCTCTTTGAGCGTTTCTAAATTATGATATTCTGATGATAAATGGCGCCTATTTCCATAAATGTTTACATGTATCAATCCCATACATGTGAAGGTAGACCTCTAAGTGTGAGAAGGTACATGAAATTGAAGAAGCAGTGCTGCACGAAGTCGAAGAACATCCTGAAACGAGTACGAGGAGGATCGCTAGACACTTAAATATACTAAGTGACATATAAATCCGAACACCCAGTTTAAATGGTTTTATTTTAATAAAAGTTGGTGAATGTATTTATCTTACTGTAAATAACAAGTGAAAAAATTTTCAGCCTTATCAATTGTACATTCCGGTTTTTATACTGCTTTTTTTAATTCACTAACGCTCTAAAAATGAATATTTCAGCCGCAGTAAAGAATCAACGTTGGCGGATTTTGGTTCTCGACATCCTTTACGATCGGTTACGATGCCTAGAGTACGGAGACCTGTACGATTTCGTCAACTTAGTGAGTTTGATATTGGCCGTATAGTGGGACTTCGGGAAGCTGGACTTTCTTTTCGGGCAATTGAAGTTAGAGTGCAAAGAAGTGTAGACACTGTGGTTAGGTGTTGTCAGGCATGGCTTCGAGAAGGCCGTACGCAAAGAGCAAGGGGCACTGAACGCCGCCGTAGAACAACAGACCGTGAAGATCGCCGCCTAAGATTATTGGCCTTAAGGGACCGTTTCTTCACTACCAAGTCCATTGCAAATGAATGGTTTGCAGAACACGGAAGACCTATTGGTATGCGAAGTGTTTACCGACGAATGAGAAGTTTTGGCTTGTTTTCATACCGGCCACACTGGGTCCTCCCTTTAACTCGAGAACACCGACGTAATCGCCTTGAGTGGTGCAGACAACGGTCACTCTGGAATCAGGAATGGAACAGTATTGTCTTTAGTGACGAGTCTCGATTTTGTTTAGGCATGCACGATGGTCGTGCCAGGGTTAGAAGGCGACGTGGTGAAAGGAGGTATCCACAGTTTTTTGTTGAAAGACATGTTCATCACACTGTTGGAGTTATGGTTTGGGGTGCTATAGCTTATGGTTCCAGGTCACCTTTAATCTTCATCAGAGGTAACATGAACGCGCAGCGTTATATCCACGAGGTTCTAGAACCCCATCTTTTACCCTATCTTGACACCCTGGCAGATCCAACTTTCCAACAAGATAATGCCCGACCACATGTTGCAAGAGTCACAATAGACTTCTTTCAACATAATGATGTCACATTGTTACCATGGCCACCAAGATCTCCCGACTTATCCCCAATTGAGCACGTGTGGGATATGATGGGTAGGAGATTGCTCAATTTGCAACGTCCTCCTCAGACTCTAGAAGCACTTCGAGAGGATTTGGTGGTTGCCATTATTAAAGGTCAAAGGGCTTTAAAGCAGTGCAATCATTTTGAAATTTGTATCATTGACTTATTATGCTTCATTAAGTACTTATACAAAATTTTATTAAAATAAAACCATTTAAACTGGGTGTTCGGATTTATCTGTCACTTAGTATACTTACAAACTGTTTATCCAAGTCGTTGGATTGGCCGCGGTAGGCCCCAAGAATGGCCATCAAGGTCCCCAGACCTCAACAGTTTAGATTTCTTTTTGTGGGGCTGTCTTAAGACACAAGTGTACACAAGTCCCATTAACACTGTGTAGAGGAATTAAGAGGAAGAATAGTTGCAGCTTGTGAGAATAAAAAACACTCCAGGGATATTTCAACGAGTGCGCAATTCCATGAGAGGGAGGGCGGAAGCATGCATACTAAGTGAAGGGGGCCATTTTCAACAATTCTTGTAATCATTTCGTTGGTTTTAATGTTATGTTTATGTTGTCAGTTGTTGTTGTTCATTACCCCTAATGTGTTTAATTTTTCCAATTAAATTAATAATAATTTTGCGAGTTAGACAATAGAACGGTTTTTATTTTTTTACTCAAAAATGGCGCATCGAAAGAAAACAATTCAAGAAAGATCATTTGTTTTAAATTGAACGGGGGATTCAAAAACAAATTTTATTTGGCAATAGATTTTCCATGGTTCTTCATACGCTTGATCGGATGGTTTCTTTATCAGTAACAATTTTTACAATTTATGGATCATCTCCAGGTGGCAACCGGAACGGAAAGTAGGGGATCTCCAGGACCACAATACAAGGCTGCCAACATGAGGGCCTTAGAATGGAACGACGAATTGGAAGAGCTGGCTAGGAGGTATGCCCTTTTAATGTTCGTAAAGATGAAAACCAGATGCATCTAAATCCTATCAACTACAACTATCAAACAAGGTTTAAATAAAATTCTGTATCTGTGCAAAAATCTACGAAAACAATCGGTCAAAGATGTTTTCTTTTCTTAGACCCAACATTTTTCAATCATATTCAGGCATCAATAAGAGTTATTAAAACGTCAAAAATATTTAAAAAATAAATTATACAGCAACCAATAAATTCCATCGATAAACTTAGAGATATTAAAAATTATTATTGAACTCCAAGCAATTTATACAGGGTGTCCGCAAAGTTGGGGTTTTCCTTTTCACACAACTACGCTTGATATAATAAAGCTAATGTGTAGTGAAACGTGAGCGAACAGGTAAAAAAAATAAATGAAAAAGTACTTACTGTTCAGGTGAATTGAAATTCCAAGTACGACTCTGTCGTAAAGTCCGTATTTACATCGTGGTCACACGTCGTATAAGTGTACGCTGGCGCTCGTGACGTGATCGATGGATAGGACAGGACCGGCTTCGGTTTGGTTCAGATTTGATTGAGTTTGTGGAGCCCAATATATCGGTTCTCTTAAGACATTGGTGTAAATGATACTAAGAAAATCCGCTTATTTTCTCAAGATCTACACGTCGTGTGAAGGAAAACCCCAACTTTGCGGACACCCTGTATATATCATGCGTTATGTTTGAATTGCATTTAAGGTAAAATCAGTTTAATTTCAAAAATTGTCTGAATACTCGTAATTTAGCCGAATCTTAAAACTAGAAAAAATATAAATTTATACACCTTAATACGTTGTAATACATGCATTATTTAACGTCGGTGCAACATTTGTGCGTGTTTTTATGAACCCGAGTACAAGTTCAAACTTTTTTTGATGTCTTATGTTTATTTTAAAATAACGATTTTGTGTACGTTATTCCAATAAACGTCATTATTGTTATTATTACGAGCCCCTTCCCACTTCAATTGGCCAACTATTGAAATCTTAATTTTTTTCTTATCAAACACAAATAATAAAAATTCAGCAGGGTGTTATAGGTTTAAAATATTAACAATGAATATTTTGATAATATATAGTAGAAAACACCAACTTTATCGCTCACTAATTAAATAACACATGTTGCAGTTACAGCATATAAACCTATTTTCATTTCAATGCAAAATAAGTCTATAACGCATAGGTGGCTGTGAAAAATAAAAGCCATGACAATTGTTTTTATTAATCACAGCTGTCAGATTTTTAATTCTGGGAAATCAAACTCAGAAACTGCAACTTTGTTAGACTTATCGCGGTACAGTGTGAGAAATATTGTTAGAAGATATAACGTAACTGGTTCACTTAATATTAAGCCACGATATGTGGAAAAAAGTAATATCACAAATGCCGACCGAAGAGCATTAAGAAAAATAATCGTGAAAAACAGGCGTGCCAATTATCTACAATTCAGTGCTCTGTGGGGTGACGCTGTTGGAAGGAGAATTTCGCGGTCCACAACTCATAGAGAGGCCCACAAACTGGGATTTAGCACTTGCAAGGTAAGTTTTCTTATAAAAGAAAGTGGAGTAAAAACCCTAAAGTTGCACAACTTGTTTATAGGCCAAAGAAAAGCCACTATTAACTCCACTGCAAAAGAAAAATCGGCTTAGATCGGCTAAAGAACATAGACAATGGACACCTCAACAATGGTGTGCAATACAATGGAGTGATGGGGCCCGATTCGAATTTTGTGTTGGTGACAGTCGCAGTAGAGTTATTCGCAAAAAAAGTGAAGCATTCCATGTTGACTGTCTGAAGAGAAAAGTGAAATTTCCAGCATCCATTATGGTCTGGGGCAGTATGTCATCAAAAGGAGTAGGAAAACTTCATTTTATTGATGGAAATGTGGATACAAACAAATATTTGGCAATTTTAGAAGAATCTCTTTTATCAGTGATGGAATAATGTTTGACATCCGGCCAAGATTTTGTGTTTCAGAAAGATGGTGCAGCGTGCCATACCTCAAAAAAGGCTATAAAATGGATGGAAGAAAATAATGTACTATTTTTGAAATGGGTTTCTAGCAGTCCAGATCTGTCACCTATTGAAACTTTGTGGCACGAGATGAAAAAGGTTCTACGACAAGATCCTGCTCGTACAATCACCGAACTGAGACCAAAGCTTCAAGAAATATCGGATTGTTTTACACCAAATTTTTGCCAAAACTTGATTAACACTATGCCCCAAAGAATTTCAGCCGTGATAAAAAATAAAGGTGATTAGTCTATTAGTTATAGGTCTAAGTGATTTCAAATATGTATTTTTTACGACTAGAGTGTATCTAAAATGTTTTTTGGAAAATAAATTGTTTTAGAAGTACATAAATAGTTTCGTCATGTTTAGTTTATAAAGGCACATTTTGGTACAAATCTTGAAGTGGGCCAACTGAAGTGGGAAGGGGCTCGTAGTTACGACACGTAAACAAATATAACTAGTTTCTGTCCTAAGTAGCTTCAACCAAAAAAAAACAAGTATCATTTTAATTATGACTAAAATAACCGTTTTTGAAATTTTCAAAAAATTATAGTTGCGTTTTAGGTGGGTGTTCCAATGCATATACGGCCATGACGTCTGCAGAGACCTTGAAAAGTATCCTGTAGGTCAAAATATAGCCAGAGGAATCGGATTTTTAAACGACGACATGGCTTACGTAGCAGATTGGTACAGCAATGTAAATGACTTTCACAGAGACTGGATATATGATTACCAATTGCCGTAAGTTATAAAAAGTTTTTACTACATTTTTTTTTATACCGCGCAGGCAGAAGATTAAATACCAGCGCATCGTGGCTGCTATGAGGATCTTGAACAAACTTTGTTCATCCGATTTTTCAACTGCTTAAGGTTAGTAGAACTAGGAAAAGCCTCCTCTTGTAGATTGTTCCACAATTCCGATGCCCTAGGGATAAAGGACCGGTCGTATCGGCGAGTTCAGAATATCTCGTCACGAAGTGTCCTAAGTGACAAAATAAAAAAAATTGAGATAACCCGCATATAGGTGTATTATTGCATGCCGGTTAATCTGACGAAGAGGCATAACTATATATCTTTTAGTGTAGGCAACATATCATTAAGCCCTGGGTGTCTTATTTACAAAAGTAAATATATAATTCCCACGAAGAGACCTAAATGACCACCTCGGTGGTCGAATCATGCAATTCATACTGCAATAAAGGTAGCTGGAGATCTCTTTGAACCCTCACAACTCTATCCGGTTTTTCGATTTAGCAATCCCAATGAATTTTTTTGACTTCAAGAAACTTTCAAAAGATGTAAGAGTGTTGTCCACACGGCAGACTGAGAAAGGGCAGAATATTAAATGGACAGGTATTATGGAGTTTATGGTAAGAAAAGACATGCCCACCAAAATATTTTTCAAGTATAGCTACTACGATACTATACTATAACTATCTAAAACTGTAATGACTTATCGATGTTCACGTGAACATCACTTAACTACCAGTAGTCGGCTGTTCATAGGCGGGGTATGAATGTTTAACATGGGTGAACTAGATTTGTCACATGCTTAATAAAGAGCGGTTTGAAACATATTGTAAGTCAAAAATTTGGGAATTACCTTTATTCATCGTCGCTTCCACTTACATCTGACAGTAATAAACTGTCGCTATCGCTTTCCTCGTTGACATTGACTATAACTGGCTCTAAGATGGTGTCGATGTGGTGGTCAAGCTGCCACATTTTTGTTTCTTCCTTCACAACATGACGGATAGCATTCTGCCAAGCTTCGGGCGTTACTAGCTGTATGGAAGTCTCAAGTAAAACCTTAACGTCTGGTAATTTGAAGGTTGTGTTATGGCGCGCAATATAACCCTTCACTTGAGCCCAGATGAGCTTTATTGGGTTCAGTTCACAGTGGTAGGGCGGTAACCGCAGCACAGTGACACCACATTGACGGGCCATCTCATCAGTCACGTAACTAATGTTCGCAGGTTTGTGCTGTTTAATTTTTTCATACAATTCCGCTTTCACACATGAATCGTCAAACGGGATTCCTTTTTCGCGCAACCATTGCTGCATGTCACTTTTTCGAGATCCCATAGTCGGTACACGTTCGGCTCAATGACTATGGTAGGAAGCATTATCCATGACGATCACAGAGTTGGGCTCAACTCGCTGAAGCACCCCTTGAAACCAGCTCTCGAAGCAGCTGGCATTCATTTCGTCATGGTAATCACCTCCTTTCTTAGAGACGAACATCAAGTCACACTCTTCTAAAAAGCCACTATCGCTACCAATATGAGTTACGATCAATCTTTGACCTTTCTCTGACGGTCCACGAAGACCTGTTGACAAACCTTCAATGCTTGCTTGTCGGTTACTCACTACGTTTTTGTCTATCCAGGTTTTTTTAACTGTGTGACCTGCATTTTGCCCACATGTCTCGTCCAAATAATAGATTTTTCTGCTTTGTCGCCTATATTCAATCATTTCGCGTAGGTATTTTCGACGCCAGGCGACTATTACGGGTCTCTCTATCAATACTGACTTCCGATTACGCGTTTCGTAACGAAAATTAATTTCGTGCAGGGATTTCCTCATTACCTCGACGCTCATTTGGGGTATAATTTCATTTTCCTTGATCGCTGCATGTACAGCCTTGAGGGTTGGTATCTCATTCCTAAAGAACAATGAATGTACGGTTCGCCTTAACGCTATTTTGCTATCGTCATCCAATTTAACGGCCTTTCGTCCCTTCAAATTAAACTTTGGATCAGTAGTAGCTCCAGTTTTCTTCTTTTCATGCACCACCCTGCGAATGGTCCAGTCTGGAACGCCTGTCATACTTTCACAACGCGCGAGTGCATCTCCCTGCGACATAGTTCTGTTCAGATAATTGAACACGTTGAGCACGATTTCTTTCGCGTCCCTCTTCAGTGCTTTACGAAGCCGTCTACTTGTTCCCGGGCTTTCAGTACTTCCACTCGTGCCATTTGTACTCTCCATGGTTAAGTATAACCAAAACAGTAACCACAGAAACCACAACAATAACAATCACACAACAATTCTTATAAAAACACACAATATGCGATCGCTCAACGAAACACGTTCCAATGCGTTGCCGACGCCTATGAGTCTGCCGGTCGAGGCGCGTCTTTGATTACATTGTTTCTACCGGCGGAGAACAATCAGCCATTATTTCCATCTCTGTCTGTGCTGTTGACCACCGCAAAGCCACAGAAACGACATATGTCGTACGCTATACGGCTGTACTGGAAGGAAGCCGGGATCGAGCTCTGCTCACGTGTTGATCACGCGTATGAGTCATTACAGTTTTAAATAGTTGTAGTATAGTTGACTGTATTGAGTTAAAAAGACTGATGACAAAAAGTATGAATATAAATGATATTAAACTAGAACAACTTAATAAGGAACCAGTAAAGATAACAAAAAAGAAGTACTCCGACTTACTTTCGTTATGTGAAAATCCAACACACGTTGTACGCTCACCAGAATTCCAAAACTTCTTTAGAAAATTGCCCCATGAAACGGAATGAATTATTAACAACTCTGCCTTTGTTTTTTTGTGTATGATAATACATCAACAGTAGCGACTAATATGTCAAAAAGATAATGTTGAAATTAGTTGCTTTTCTTTTAATAAAAATTACTTTGGAGTTCGAGATGTGTTCTTCATCTCATCGCCTAATATATGTGTCATAATCTAAATCAGTTTTAGGCATGGACATTCAGACAAATTTTGTACGGGGGAATCCAAAATGCAAAAGTCGATCTGAACTTTTTTACGTAAACTCTGCTGTTAGCAGACCAACGATCACTTAAAGAATTAAACAATAAAGATATTTTTTGAGATAATCGCTCGCTTGGCTGAAATATGATTCTTTGTTTATAAGTAAATGACATAAAGCCTGTATATCTTAAAAAAGTATAATAAGAACTTTAATAAAAATATATTTTAGCTCTATCTGACAGGAAGCTTCTGAAAATTTTCACGAAGTGACCTACGTGCGTTTTCCAATTTCTTCCAAATTAACTTGATAAGCTACCGCAAATATTGAAACAGACAATTAATATGGACTGATACAGTGAAATTTTCAATACGGAAATACCTAAACTTTTCATACAACGCTCAATTAACCGCACGCTGATTTCGTTTTATTGCCTTCCTGTAAAATTTACTAAACGTTGGTTAGGACACTCTGTGAGAAAGCCGACGATCTAGTCAATCTACTTCAACTGATGTAGGCCATCTTGAAAACGTATTCCATTCTTTCAGATACTCAGATATTCGTGCTCAATACACTCAACTGGTATGGGCAGAAACCTATCAAATAGGTTGTGCGCGAATAGTATTCCAAGGGCCAGAAAGTCCGTCAGTATCGTATTGGGAACACTTTGTTTGCAACTATGGACCAACAGGAAATATTCCTGGACACCCCGTTTACAGGTATCAAAGAAACTATTTATAGTAGTAGTAGAAAGATTTATTTAGCACATTTGGCTACATAAACAGAACAATTGTAAACAACTTAGAACTAGTAAATTCAAGCCATATGGTGTATGATGTAAATGCTGGGCAACCTATAATTGTAGATTTAACAAGTGATTTCTCAATTTTACTTTAAATTTTGTCAAAGTTTTCTGGTCTTTTATCTCCGAGTATAATTTATTATATTCAATCAACCCTTGATGGAATACAGATTTGTAGCATATGTTATACTTTTTGGTCATTAAATGGAAGTCATCTTTATTTCTGGTATTATGTAAATGATGGTCGACATTTGATGATGTTAAATTAGTTAGACTTGATGGAAATATATTATTTTTTACTTTATAAATGTATATCATTACAAGATATTTGATAAAATTTTTTACATTGAGCCATTTTAATTTGCTAAGCATTTGCCTAATTGGAGTATATTTATCTTTATTTAGTATTATTCTCATGCACTTATTTTGTAAAATTTGCAGTCTTTCAAAAATGGAATTATTTGCTAAGTATAGAATAGTCGAACAGTACAAGAAATTTGGAAGAATGATGGTATTATAGATAATTTTTCTGCTATATGAACTCAGACATCCAGAAACTCTCGATAAATATCCCACTTTACTACTAATCTTATTTATAACTTTTTCATAATGAATATCAAAAATTAATCGAGAGTCAACAAAAACTCCCAGGTATTTAAAATTTTCTTCGAATTCAATATCTTCACCATCAATATTCAGTTGAACATTTGTACATTGTTTTTTCCGATTAACAAGGCTTTCGTTTTACTTGCATTTAATTTTAGTCTGTTAGATGCTAACCATTTTGAGACAAGCTTCAAGTCTTCATTTATATAAGAGATACCAGACTGAATATCTTTAGTACTTATATAAATCATAGTGTCATCGGCGAAAATTTGAATTTTGCATTTTTTGACTATGGCAGGTAAATCATTTATGTATAAAATAAAAAGAAGTGGTCCCAGGATACTGCCCTGTGGAACACCCAACGTATTTTCAATTTTTGATGAAATAGTGTCATTAACTTTTGTAACTTGCATCCTTTTAGACAAATAATTTCTAAACCAATCTAAAACACTTCCTGTTATACCATATGCCTTCAATTTACCTAACAAAATATCTCTATCAATCGTTTCAAATGCCCTCTTCAAATCCAAAAATACTGCTATGACAACTTCTTCTGAGTCTATGGCTCTTCTCCAATTCTCAGTTACCAACTGGAAAGCTGTTTCTGTGGAATATTTTTTTCGAAAGCCTGCTTGCGCCTCCACTAAAATTTTGTTTTCTTCTATAAACTGCATTAATTGGTCATGCACTATGGACTCTAATAATTTTTCAATGTCTGGTAACACATTTACTGGTCTCATATCGCTGCATCTTTTATAATTTTTTATTTTTGGAACTGGTGTTATTGTAGAGCATTTCAAATTTTCAGGGAAAGAACTGCTTCTCAGTGAACAATTGATCCAATTTAATACAGGATATCCCAAAATTTCGAAATAGTTTTTCAGCACGTTTTTAGTAGTCATTTCGGCACAGTTGTTATTTGATTTTAAACTGTTTACTTTTTTTCTTAAATAATTCAATGATACGCTGTGAAATTTTGAATGTGTATGCAGCATTTCCCCCTGGATACTGATTTTCATATAGTCAGGTGCAGCATTGGTAGTACCTACAATATCAACAATACTTTCCACAAAATATTCATTTAGTTTGCAATCACCAAAGAATTTGTTTCGGTACCGTTTTCGAATTGAACTTGATTTACACAATCATGCGGCTTCGAATTGAGCAGTCTTTTTAAAGTCTTCCACATCTTTACACTGTCGCACTTGTTATTATCGATTTGTTTATCGTAGAATTTTTTTTTCTTCTCTAATTACATATACACATTTATTCCTAAGAGTTTTATATACCTCCCAATCATCATTTGATTTTGTGAATATACATTTATTGTATTGTTTGTCTCTCAAATTTTGAGCTGCCTTAATATTCTTGTTATACCAGGGTGTATTTTTTGTCGAGCAAATCACTTTTTTATCAGTTGCAAGATCTAAACAAGTTTTTATATTTCCTATTATGTTGTCATATATTTTTTCCATATTCTCACCAAAATTCCAATAGCAGCCAGCAAGTTCTCGTTCAAGTTTTTCGTACTTAATAGTATTTACGATTTTCTTAATTTTTGTATCAGAAAAATGCCCTACCAAGGGCAGCATTGTCCAACTGTGATCGCTAACTTTAGGTGTATGTACAGCTTTAATCTCTGCACATTCGAAATTTACAATAACAAGATCTAACAAAGTCTCTAATAATGATGTTATTCTGGTACTCTCTTCAATTTTTTGCTTGAACCCATAGTTGTTTATGGTTTCTTTCAATTTTCTTGTTTTCATGCTTTTACCATAATAATTTAAATTAAAATCACCTAAAAGTATTATATTGTTTCTAAAATTCCACATTTCTTCGCATTTTTCTTCAAAAAACGTTAAAAATGTATCTGCATCACTGTTTGGTGAACGATAAAAAGTACAAAGATCATAACGTTTCCCAAATAATTTGAACTGTATATGTGCATACCAGTATGCATAGTCTAAAGTGGTACAATCGAATAATGTGATCTGTATTTTGTGGTAAACATAAATCACTACACCTCCAGTATGTCTGGAGTTGGAGTTGCATCTGTAGGTTTTATAATTAGTAATTTGTAATTCACCATCAGTGATGTCTTCTGTAGCATGTGTTTCGGTAAGACATAATACAAGTGGTTTTCTCCATCTTAAAAACTGTTGAACTTCATCTATATTATTCAGGACTCCTTGTATGTGTAAATGGTAAATGGTATATTGAGTTATATTCATCACTTACAGATTTAGCCACGTCTTGCAAATCTGAGCTTAGTAGTTGCTATTCATTTGCATAAGTAATTTTTTCCCTCTCACGTTCAATTTTCCTTTTATAGACTTCACAATTTTTGTCAAATGGTCCATGATTAATAGGTAATCCTAGATTAAAATCCTGGTTTGCACTTTTACAATTTGGACAGCATTTGTACATTTCACTGGTACTACAGTTTTCTGTTGAATGTCCTTCTAATCCACAAGTAAGACATCTTCCTGATTTTGTGCAGTATTTAGCTGTGTGGTTAAATCCGGTACATTTATAGCATGTATATGTATATGTACTTAAACAAATTTCAATTGCTCTTTTTGTAACTTTTTAAAAGCGTTTTACTGTGGATAGATATCCTATTACAAAAAATAAACAAATATATTGTACTGTCACTCAATTGGCTTAAATCATATGCAAATAATCAACCCCAAATTGAATTGTGTGAGTTTCATTTTTCTTGACCTGTTATTGTTAGTGCTTAACGGGGCTCCTACAATCACGAGCACCATCTGCTGAGGTAACGGGGGGGGTGAAAAGGAAACGAGGGTGGGCTGGCCCTAGACGGTTGTCGGGGATATTTTAAAAGGGGAAAGGATGACTGCGGGTGAGTACCGAGGAATTTTTATAATAACAAAGTCGGATTTCGATTAGCGATCTAGAATGTAAATCGTTCCTTATTTTGGCACTCAGCAAGTGATCATTTAGTATTTTTCACCCCTTGTTCGTCGATATTGTGTTGGTGTGATTGTTCTTGAGTACCTTTTTTTATCAAGGCTGATAATGGACAATAAAGGGTCATATGCGACCATTTTAATTACGAATGCAGCGAGTTTAATTAATGATGAGGTCAACAATAGTGTGGAGCAGTTCAACTCTATAATCGCAAACTACATTGGGGTAAGCGAATAAATTATTGCAAGAAGAGGTCATGCCATGGAAGATGTGATACAGCTGTAGTGAGCCACAATACCCAGCGGCCTGTATATGCGGTCTAAATACATTTGCGTTCTAAGCTTAGTCCAACCTCGCTCATCGCTAAGATGGAACAAAGACTCAAACGCAAGGATCTTGAAAAGAAACTCAGACCAGAAAAAGCTGATATAAAAATAACTAACAATTCGGATAGCAATTCCAAAGAAAATGATTAGTTTTATGGAGAATTCAATCAAAAACCTGACATTAGCTACATTGATTTGGAGGTTGCTAAGCAAAAATGTTTAGGGAAACTTAAAAAAAGTCACGGCGAGATTTTGCAGATCGAACAAGTCACCAAATCACAGGACTGTACTTTGTCGCGCCTTCAACGGAGGATAAGGTTGACAGCGTCTCGATTTAGTGCAGTTTGTAGAAGAAGGCAGACAACAAGCTGTAAAGTTCTAGTAAACTCCATCATATGCCCAAAAGAGTTTTCTAGTAAGGCAATAAAAAAGGCAATACAAAAATCATTGGACACCCCAGTTCAGTCTTGTGGTTTGTTTATTGATCGCACACATCCATTTCTGGCAGCATCGCCTTCATCTACCTATTACAGTAGACAAGGAATGTACCTAATCCAGGTATAAGCCTACCTGTTTATTGCTTTGCAAAAACTACCTAACTACCTCTTATTTTGACGGCATAAGATATTTTTATGACCCTCATTCAATTGTTACCATGTACCACATGATCCTTGTAAACATAATTGTGTTTACTGACATGAATAAACTAAATTTTTGAGTTCTTCTTACCGTCGGGTCGCTTGGACTGGCAGGACGAAACAGTAGACGAATTTCGCCCAAAAACCGATTTGCACTTCACAGCTTACGTTTCATTTTTTATTATTTCCAAATGAAACTCTTGCAGCGTGCTAAAAACAAAGTCCACAGGGTGCGATCCACTCTTTCGATTTTATCCACTAGGATCTTTTTAAAATATCAAGAATTTGAGCACAAATAGTAAGCATTTCAACCCACCATAATTTTTGGGCAATGACAAAATTTTGTAAAAAGCTCTGTTAGCACCTTAGGCAATTATGTCCTGCTTATGTCCAGAAAAACATCACAAACTGCATAACACATGTTGTAGGTAACGGCGAAATGGGTACATTTCACGGGTCATGAAATTCTCAAAAGAAAATGCAGGTATAAAATCTATCAAATTATCGTTCTCAAAAACATATTTCCTTGACATATCGATAATTTTAAAGTTCCACCCTAAATTCCCCTATACTTGACTGGAGTGATATCCGAATTCATTCTTCCCTAATGTCGGCAGTTGCAAATAGATCTGTTGGCTCTTAGTGTCGAACCTATAGAGCAGGTACCGATTTTTTCAAATCGTGAGCACATTATTGCCTATAGCACAGTCGCCACTGGACTAAAACTACAAAGCTATGGCATACTAGTAACCCCGTGTGGAAATTTCATAAAAATCCGAGCGGTTATTTCCAAGTTAATGAGTGATGTAGATGTTATATGACTTAAAACGACATATCTCATTTTAGAAATTGTTCGCGATTACAATACTTCCTCGCCAATTAATTAAAACGCCTTTAAAATCGAGGAGTATCAGCGATCGCGATTATGAGTACCTATTTGCAGAACGACTTACCTACGCGATATTATATGAAATAGGGTCACCAAATTATCTGAATACGTCCTTTCTCAGTCCGTGCATTACGCCGCAATGCTTGGGTTGGCAGCACGAAACAGACAAAATTCCTCAAAAATACGATTTGTAGAGGTGTGCGCACTTAATTGAAGCTTTATTTTTTGATATTTTTGGATGAAATTTTTACAGAGTGCTCAAATCAAAAGCCCACAGGGTGCTATAGAGCCACTTTTTAATTTTTTCCACTAGGTTCTCTTTTAAAAAATCGCGAAGTTGAACAGAAAAAGTGCGCGCTTCAATCCATCATAAAACTTGTGTAAAAACAAAATTTCAAAAAGTGCTCCTATAGCACCCTGGGCAATTATCTTCTCAACTTACTGTATGAATTTCATTCAAAAATATTGAAAAATGGAGTGTCAGTTTTGAAGCAGCTGAACCCTTGTAAATGGCTTGAAACTCACTGCGTCGGAGCCGCCTTAACGTTTCACCAACACCAGCGAATGGCATCCGATTGTTACTCGGAAGATACCGAAGAGTTAATTGTTTCACCCACTGGTGATGACAAAACGTCAAGCACCAACGATCACCGATGGCGCCCGAACAGCCCAAAAAGATCCAAAATTGAAAAAATGTCAAGATTTCACATTTCAAATAAATATAAACGCAGGGGTACCTCAAGTACTAGGTGCGATACCACAATACTTCACACTTCGAAATCTTTGTGACAAGAATTACTTAACTTTCAATGTTAACAAGATAAATTTTATGACATTTATGCTCCCTTGATTTTATAATTTGAATAATCAATTGTTACACAAAACGGACACCATCAAATGTTTGGTACTGACCATTGATCATAAATTAGATTTTGTCGACCATGTAGACCAATTGCTTAGTCAAGTAGCAAGCAAAGATTTCCTTTAATATAAGAACAATTAGTTTATTTAACAATTATTTAGTAACAATTAGTTACAACGTAGGGAAAAGCACAGCCTTAAGCAGTTACTGTGCCTTACTTAAAAGTAGATTGAGAGATGGCATTCACTGTTGCTATGCCTGTTCCCAAAATTGTTCATAAAAAGTGCTTATTCTACAAAAATGAACTATTAGATACATACCTAAAAGCAGTGTTACAGCTACATACAGCCAGTTGTTTTTAAATCTCAAAATATTGGCTGTCATATCATTGTTCATTTTAGAAACAGCAACTTTTATTTTTATATATAAACATTGAATATAAGTTACAGTATTAAACGAAAACAGGATCTTCGGTTAGTATAATGTGATGAACCAAAATGATATCAAAAGAATCACCAGTTTAAGGATCTTCTGTCTTTTTGATATATAAATCATATTACCTATACCATTTCTGATTTCTAAAATTGACTGGCTTAAGATCCACAACCCACATATGTAATTTTGTCATAGCTTAATTTTAAGTTTGCTTTATCAGTGAGAATGCTTGTATTCATTAGACAATAAAGCATATTTGTCTACCTATCTATACAAAAGTCATATGCTCGCTTTTGGCAACGCGGGCGAAAATGAATACTAATTTCACCCTTCCTACCAACGGTGTTCCATCCCTATTGTGAATAATCAGCACGGTTCTGGTCGAGCGACAAATCAAAGCGGATCAAACTAGCCTCTCTCACACTAGTTTTCAGTGACCGATTCTAGCAGGTGGCATTTGTGTGTTATCTATTTCCATCAATTGAGATTTTTTTCTGAAATATCTAATTCAACCTCAATGAATTTTAGGGTAGGAGAACCATGCTCGCAGTGTCCCCCAGGCACCGGTTGCTCGTTGGACTATCCAGGGCTTTGCGGCCAAGAGCAATTCTTCAACATCACTTACGTGAAGAAAACTCATCGAGCTGTCAATATCCCAGCAACAACGCCAGGTGGACGAGGAGCTATAAAAGCGCCATTTGTATTGTTGGTTTTTATGTCTTTTTTGACTTTACAGTAAACATGTATTTCATAGTGGAAATGTATATATATATATATATATATATATATATATATATATAGGTGAAAAATAAACCTTCCGCCTTTAGTTGGGTACTTCGACAAAATTCAAGCAATGAGGACTCTTTATACTTTATTAGTCTCTAGCTTCCAGTGGACTTTGCCATCTTCATCAGGAGCTGCAATAACATTGAGAAGAAATAGCAACTATTGTGCAAATGATTTTAAATTACTTACATTAGTATGTGAGATTGTTGCTAAATGTTATTAACGGTAGTTGCTATTTCTTCTCAATGTTATTGCAGCTCCTGATGAAGATGGCAAAGTCCATTGAAAGCTAGAGACTAAGACCAGTTAGGTGAAAAATAAAGCTGCCGCCTTTAGTTGTGTACTTCTACAAAATTCAAGCAATGAGGACTCTTTATACTTTATTAGTCTCTAGCTTCCAGTGGACTTTGCCATCTTCATCAGGAGCTGCAATAACATTGAGAAGAAATAGCAACTATTGTGCAAATGATTTTAAATTACTTACATTAGTATGTGAGATTGTTGCTAAATATTATTAACGGTTGTTGCTATTTCTTCTCAATGTTATTGCAGCTCCTGATGAAGATAGCAAAGTCCATTGAAAGCTAGAGACTAATAAAGTATAAAGACCAGTTAGGTGAAAAATAAAGCTGCCGCCTCTAGTTGGGTACTTCTACAAAATTCAAGCAATGAGGACTCTTTATATAATATAATAATATTTATTCGCCAAAATACAAAAAATGGGCTAATAAATATGAAAAAAACACAGAAGGCATCGCCTGTGTGTGGTTTATATCTTAATAACTAACAATCAATCATATATGTGTATAACAATTATTGTTAAATCTAAAAGGTATTAATGTAATTGGAATTTTGTAGTTTTAGTTTTCTATATAATTATGTATAGTCATTCGCTGCACATTACTAACCCAGTCTTTCAATTTTCTTCTAAATTTTTTTCCCAAATTAAGTATCTTTATTTCGTTTGGTACTACATTATATAATTTAGCCGCTAAGAATTTAAATGATTTTTTGAATAATGTTTTGTGTGGTCTTTGGATATTAGATGAGCCTATTCGAAATCGTGTGTTATGCTCGTGTTTATAGGATTTTTTCTTTTTATTACAATACTTATGGTATAAGGTGGTGGCGTGTAAGAAATAAAGTTGTCTTGTATCAAGTATCCCTGTTTCTTGATATAAGTTGTTCGTTGGATATAATCTTGGCTTATGGAAAATGGCTTTCAAAACAGTTTTTTTTTTAATAATGTTTTGTGTGGTCTTTGGATATTAGATGAGCCTATTCGAAATCGTGTGTTATGCTCGTGTTTATAGGATTTTTTCTTTTTATTACAATACTTATGGTATAAGGTGGTGGCATGTAAGAAATAAAGTTGTCTTGTATCAATTATCCCTGTTTCTTGATATAAGTTGTTCGTTGGATATAATCTTGGCCTATGGAAAATGGCTTTCAAAACAGTTTTTTGTGCTATATTCAGGTCAGAAATATATGTCTTGCATGCGGCACACCAGGCTGTGATATTATATGGGTTTCAACTAAGGCATGGTATAGAATTCGCAGATAACTTTCTGTAAGAATGTTAGCAAGCATTTTGAGTTTATAGGCAACATTTCTAATTTTTTTGATAACATATTTAATATGGTTATCCCACCTTAGATGTGAGTCTATAAATATTCCAAGATATTTCAAAGTGTTAACTCTATCGATTTTGGTCTTTTGGCCATGATAATTAACGAAAATTTGTTCGAAGGTAGGTAAACATTTTGAATAGGATGTAAATGCAATAAATTTTGTTTTTTTGAAGTTAACTGTTAAAATTTTAGTATCAAACCAGTCAATGATCCTTATAAAATCCTTTTCAGCTATTTGCTTCAGTGTGCTCCAGTCATCAGCTTTATATAATACATCTGCAAAACATATAATCTTTCCAGAACTGTTAATTTTGAATAAGTCATTTAAGTAGAGACTAAATAATAGTAGGCCTAGTACTGTTCCTTGAGGCACACCACACTTGATGTACATTTTTTTACTGTAAGTGTTAGTGATTTTGACAGTCTGTGTCCGACTTGAAAGGTAATTTTTTAAAAGGATTTGTGACGCTCCCCTAAATCCCAATCTTTCCATAACTTTCAGAAGCTCGACATGGTTAACCGTATCAAAGGCATTTTTTAGATCAACAAAGATACCAATAGTAGGTATCTTTTTGTTGACATTAGAGTTAATTTCATCCATTGCAGCCAAAATTGCATCTGTAGTAGATTTTCCTTTTCTAAATCCATATTGGTCAGAACATATAATTGTTTTTGTCCAAAAATTGTAATATCCTTTTTTGTAGTAATTTTTCGAAAATTTTGGCTATATTCGATAGTACTGATATGGGTCTATAATTTGATGTTTCCATTCTGTCACCGCTTTTATAAACAGGAGTAATAACAGTTGTTTTAAATGCATCAGGACAAATTCCAGATTGGAAACACCAATTAATGACGTAAGAAAGTGGTTCGGCTAAGTCGTAGGCTATTATTTTTAAATGGTCAGCTTTGATACCATCTACACCAGGACTTTTTTTGGTTTTAAGTGATAAGACAGCTTCTTGTACTTCAATCGGACTAACGCTTTCTAAAAAGAATGAATTGGGAAGTTGGGTTTTTGTGAACTTTTCGTTCGAAATCATTTTTTTAATACTGGATGTTAAAGTTTCTCCAACATTACTGAAAAAATTTAAGAATGCATCGGATATTTGTCGTTTATCTGTTAATATTGTTCCATCACGATTCTTAATTTCATCAATATTTGGCTTTTCTTGAACGTCTTTGTTAGTTAAGTGATCGACAACTGACCACAGTTTTCTTGGATCAGATTTGGCATCTAATTTTTTTAGATAGAATTGGCGTTTTGCTTCTCTACCTAGATTGATAAAAATATTTTTATATTCTTTATATTTATGGGAGGTATCTGCACATGGCGATGCTTTCATTATTTTGTATAGTTCCTCTTTTTTGTTGGCAAACTTTATCAAACCTTTAGTTATCCAGGGATTCCTGCTTCTGTCAAAATGTTTAATTTTAACTCTGTTTGTACTACATTCAATTAAATATTTTATGCGTTCAATGAGTGTGTTTGCAGCATCATTAACATTCGTTGCACAGTACACTGCTGTCCACGATTCTAATTTGATATTTGCAAGTAGTTTTTTATTATCGACAAAACACCTAAATTTCACTGTTTCATTATTGGAGATGGATCTACTTTTATTTTTTTCTGGTGATGATATAAGTATTACAGTGGGTAAATGATCGGTAATATGGTTTTCAACAATTAACGGCATGTACCGAAAGAAATTTGAAAAATTTTTGATGAAGCAATGATCAATGCAAGAACTGGAACTATTATTGACTACACTTGTTGGTAAATTTATATTTGATATGAATCCATTGCTCTGCATTACAGTGAGGTATTTGTTTATTAATTTGGTATGTTGGAGTATATTAATATTCATATCTCCTATTATGATGTGGTGTGACTGTATGGCATTTTTGTTATCTAACAAAAATTTTTCAGGGTTTGATGATGGTGGTCGATAGACAGATGTGACTTTTACACTTTTGTTATTAATTCTCAATATCAAATCCAACACTGTGATACCGTCATCAAATTTAACAAAATCATTATACTTTATTAGTCTCTAGCTTTCAGTGGACTTTGCCATCTTCATCAGGAGCTGCAATAACATTGAGAAGAAATAGCAACTATTGTGCAAATGATTTTAAATTACTTACATTAGTATGTGAGATTGTTGCTAAATATTATTAACGGTAGTTGCTATTTCTTCTCAATGTTATTGCTGCTCCTGATGAAGATATATATATATACAATATGAGATGGGGAGTTTTAAAAATGGTGTAAGTGTCACTATTTTGCACTGAAGCTGCGACGTAAGAAGTTCAGGCGTAACGTGATGAATTTTTCCGCGCCCCATTATTACAATATGACTCGATCTGCGTCCTCTCATAGTTGCACTTTATTGTGGATATATCATACCTGTTATTAGCAAAACAGACAGCTTTCAATCAGGAAGTTTCCTATTTTTTCACACACTTAAAATGGTAGACCCGGGCATTTTGTTAAAATGTTGACTGAATTTTATTTAATTTCATAATATTCAATAAACTGGTGACATTCCAATGACAAGCTATCATCTGACATTTTTACAGTGTTTTTTTTAATACTTCACTATTTGTTGCCAAAAATCTGACGGAGCGATCTCAAGGCCCATTGGTTATAATTAACGGACTGCTACCCTATTGGTGGAAAATAACGGTAATGACAGTCTTGGAGAAATCCGCCTGAAGTAAAGTACAACACAGAAAACAATTTTTGAGTATCTTGAAAAATTATAAAGAAGTTTCTTATTTGACGAATCCTCCGACTGAAGCGTGTTACTGACAATTTCAGGTAAAAATGGGTAAAAAATGAGTCAGAGCTTCAACTTACAAATCGTCGTTGTTTTGACGAAAATTCCTATGGGTGTTTGCAGATGAGATAAAAACTCTTTTGTCTTTAAAAAAATTGTTTCGCTTCCATTCACAGAGCTCATATTTGACTATTCAGGTATTCAGAAACCTCAGATGTAGAAAAACTGTTACATATGAGGTTTCATCATAACAGCGACGAAATTTTGTGTTGTACCTAGGTGTACAAATTCAAGCATATCAGGTCCAGAAAAATATTTTTTCCCTCCGCCAGACACAGAAGAATTAGAATTGCCTCTTTCGGAAATATCATCATTGTACTGCTGTGAATCTCATTTTGATGAGGTATTTAGTTAATTTGGTATGAACAATCATAAGAATTATTGCCTATTATTATGATTATGGCATTTATTTCGAGATAATGTGAAGATTGTTATTATGATGATGCTGTAACTGGAGGGCAATAGTCCTTGAGCTTTGTCTATGCCGACGTGGACGTATTGATATGTGGCAAAATGGATTGTAGATTCGAAGGTACGTATAATTATTATGTTATGGCATTGTATTACTTGCCAATCAAGACATACCAAAAACTACAAAGCTTTTTTAACTTGGCATAGTAGTAGTAAAATTGTGTAAACATTTGAACAAAATTCGAGTGGTACTTCTCAGGCAGACGGAAATGGGT